GGCTCTTAGAAAAGGATGGGTAGGGAGGAACTTACTTGGCAAGTTGCTCACCCATGTGAAAGTGATGGGTTTGGGGGGAGGAAGGGGAAGTTGAAACTGATATTTGAAGGAGTAGCAGAAAAAAACCTCCGTGGAAATGGAGAAGCTGAAAGTCATGGGGTGAGTGGAGACAGGATAGAAGCAGGACCTAATGACCAGCAGAACCTCTACAGGGAGCACTATAAAGATGTGGCTAACATCCAGGCTCCAGCCTTCACTGGCTGCCTTCTCCCCTGACAGTCCTGATGAATATCCTGAAGTTCGGAGAAGCAAAGTGACCTGCTGCTCACTAGCATACAGCCAGAAAGTTGTTCTCAACACCCAGTTCCTTTCTCTTCTTCTTCCTGAACCACTGAGCTCTGCTGAGTACCCACACTGGCAATGGGGATGTCATGGCCTCCCCATTGTATTAGTATAGCCTAGAGTTATCACAGATCCCTCTGTAAGTATGTGTAATTATACAGGAAAAAAATATTCCAAGCCAGGTACCGGTGGTTCACGCCTGTAATCCTAGATACTCAGGAGGCTGAGGTCTGAGGATCACAGTTCAAAGCCAGCCTGGGCAGGAAAGCCTGTGAGTCTCTTTTATCTTCAATTAACGACCAGATAAGTGGAAGTGGCACTGTGGCTCAAAGTGGTAGAGCACTAGCCTTGAGCGAAAAAGCTCAGGGACAGCGCCCAGACCCTGAGTTCAAGTCCCATGGTGACAAAAACAAAATCCCAAACAACTCAGTGTGAAAAGAAAGATGACTTCCTGGAAAGACAGGATGGAAAAGATCATTACAATATGGATAAGTGTTCCTTTGCAAAGGAGTGTGAAGCCTACTTGGGAATCCATAGCCATACAGGTAGGAGTCCATAGGAGCGTGGCACAGGCTGAGTTTGGATCCCAGTGCTCCAACTAAATACGGGAAGACATGGCCTTCTTTAGAGACCTCATAGCAAGTCCAACAAAAACAGTCTGAATGAATTCTTCATCATCTCTGGAATAACAGTAATCTCATTCAGTTAAGACCATAACATTTTACTACTCTTCTTAAAGAGATGATGGTTCAAGAAGTCTGTTCATAAAAGCAACACAGGAATGATGTCACTGTAGTAGGTATGAGTAGACAGAATAAGAGAAAATGGATGTGCTGGCAAATACACTAATGGTTAATCAGCTACAAATGCCAATGATGAGAGAGGGATTCTAAGGGCTGAGCAGGAAGGAACTTGGAGACACAGGATGTCATTTTCCCAGTCATTACACTGTACCAAAGCTGTCTAGCTCAGTACTTGGCACAGAGCAGTGGCTCAAACCATATAAAGGGAGCAAAGACATTGTACAAAGCATGTATGCTGTTTCACACACACAAGAAGTCTGTAATCACTACAGTGAGCCTTCACAGAGTGGATTAAGTGTGCTAAGCATTGTTTCCATACACTTAAAATTTACAACCTCAAGAGTCAGTGTCCTAATTATTCAGGAGTCTGAGATATTGGGAGGTTTGAGGAACTGAGAGGATTGTACTTTGGGGCTGGCCTGAGCAGCAAAGTTTGCCAGACTCCATCACCAAAATAACTTAAAGCAACAACAATCAGAGTTGGTAGAATGGCACATTGGTAGTATGTCAACTTTGAAAAAGCAAGATCCCTAGTACTGCCCAAAACCAAAACAAAACAAATACAACCATATAATCTCAAGAAATAAACATTTTTGTTTTCCATGCTTTATGTTCACCTGAGGATAGGCAGAAGGTGGTGTCTGTATAGCCATTGGTTTACTAGTTTGTTAACCTCACCAATAGCTGGTTTTCTCTGAAAGACTGTCATATGTCAGGAAATCCTGCCGGAAGGAATTTTATTATGAGTGGTTTCTGTTGGTAACTGCATCACTGGAGTTCTGCTTTACTCAGGGGAAGACATTTCCTGTGAGAAAAGAAATCCTGCTTCCCAGGTTTGTTTCCATTCTCTCCTCACTTGACTTTGACATGAGCTTTTATGCTATCATTGTGCAGAACATCTGGACAGTGGAGCTGCGGGGCACCCCAGTCTAGGGTTGAAAGATGTGGTATCTCGGCCTGTCACGGGGTTTGGGCAGACGACTTGCTGTCACAGAGACAGTCGGTAGCAAGCTTCATTCCTATCAGGGCCTAGGTGTGTAGACAGAGTGGGTAGAATTCCCAAGTCTGTCTTACATCATTGTCAGTGACTCAGGCGAGCTGTTTTGAACTGACTTGTGCCCTTTCCCCGGTTCATAAGTTGAGGCTCTAACCCCCATGTGACTGTGTTTAGAGGCAAAACCTTTAAGAGGAAATCAGGCAAAATGAGGTCATAACACTGGGGCTTTGCATCAGGTAGGACTGCTCTTGTAAGAAGAGGAAGATAGCTGAGTGCCTGTGGTGCCTGTAATCCTAGCTATTCAAGAGGCCGAGATCTGAGGATGGAGGTTCAAAGCCAGGGCAGACAAATCTGAGAGTCTGTTATCTCCAACTAAACAGCAAAAATGCCAAAAGTGGAGGTGTGGCTCAAGTGGTAGAGTGCCAGCCTTCAGAAAAAAGGTAAGCAAGAGAGGATAAGATCCTGAGTTCAAGCCCCAATCCTCCCTCCACCCCATCCCCCCAAGAAGGCAGTATGTTGACACAGCAAGAAGGTGACCTGGGTAGCACCTTGACCTTAGATTTCCAGCATCCAGAACTGTGAGAACATAATGTGTAGCTTAAGTAACTGGGTCTATAGATGAAAGTCAAGTTCACTAACACACTGGCCAGACCTGCTTTCCTGTGAGGTGGGGTTGATGACCATGTCCACTCACAACCTGTCCTCTGTCCTCTGCGATGTTTGGAGAGAGACCATGTGAAGAGCTGAGCACTGAGCCTGGTACCCAGAACAGGCTTGATTTCAGTTGCTATTAGCGTTAATACTGAAGTTTGTTTCCTTCCTAGGACTCTGGCAGGATAGCCCATATCTCCAACGTGATAGGAATGAGGTTAAAAACAAGATGTGCACGTCTGCTTTTTCTGATGATAGAAGAATGCACACATATTGGGGACAGGAGCACAAAAAGGAAGATCTGCTGGCATAATATCCAAAGTCTTATGGTTTGTCTTAAACACACACACACACACACACACACACACACACACACGGATCCTGCATTCTAATTCATCTTGTGGTCACATTTGCTTTCATTCATAGTGTGTGCAATGATTGGGCTGAGTGGGAAACCAAGATCAAGACAAACTGGGCTAGTGTGATCAGCCACACAACACAGCCATTTTACTTGAGGAAGTCCCCCAGATCAGTTCTGAGGTGAGGATTTAGCAGGATTCTTTTTATAACTGACATTACCAGTAAGCAATTTGGTGTGCACCTTTGCATGTGTTACCTCAGTCTTTAAGCCACTTGAGCAAACTCCTTCCAAGTGTCAGGACAGTTGTAAGGGCCACTCCCTGCCTCTGTGAGATCACTTTTGAGCAGGGGAAGGAGACAATGCCAGGGAGCAAACAGCACAGTGGAACAGTGCTGAGAGGGAGATGGAAAGTTAGATGCCCAGACCTCTCTGCAGGCTGCCTGCCTCTGTGCCCTGTTGGGTATGGAACGTTTAACCCTTACTGAATTATTGCCTCCCTCATCTATTTCCTGCAAGGGCCTCTGGATAGATTTTTGTACAGTCACCAGAGGCTGGTATTTGACAGCTTGGGGGTGCTCCTGGCTTTAGCTGTAGTGGGTGGCGGGGAAGCTGCGCTGAGGGGCTGAGAGGCCTACCTTTCTCGGCCTGTTTTCCCTCCCAGGTGCGGGCTGTGCTCTGGTTGGGACGCCAGTCCTTAGCTGAGAACTACCTTACAGACCTCAGTTCTCACAGAACCAAATGGAACAGCCTCCCCCAGCGCCTGTCAGCCCCAATAATGCCCCTAAAGAGAAGGTGGGTGCTGTGTTTTGTGCTGTAAAGGGGTGGGGGACCCCCACTGCGCACTGGCTGTTCCCTGAGCTCCTGCCCAGCTCCTGTTTGGTATGGGCAGATGGGGGAGGCGGGGAGGGAGGGGGAGGAAGTTTCCACTAATGACGCCAACAACAAGGATCACGGCCCTTCCCAGGATGGCACACCCGCCGGTTCCCCAGCTGGCTCTCTCTCACCTGGGCTCTCTCAGGATCCCCGAGTCCTGAGCCGGGACCTGGACGTTTCAACCTTTGGACGCCGGCCACTTAATTCAGACACTCTCCGCACCCACCCAATCCCGGCTGCGCTGCCACCGCCGCCTTCCGAATCGTATTGATTGATTGGTGGATCGAATGAATGATTTCTGCCAGTCCTGGGGCTTGAACTCAGGGCCTGGACACCGTCCCTGAGCCTCTGGGTGTTCAAGGCTAGTGCTCTACCACTAGAGCCACAGCGCCACTTCCGGCTTTTTCCGTGTCTGTGGTGCTGAGGAATCGAACCCAGGGCTTCACGCATGCTAGACGAGCACTCTACCACGGAGCCACCTTCCCAGCCCTCGGTTAATTTCCAGTCCCTTCCACGCTCACCAAGCCCGGCCTGCAGTCGCGCGCGTCCCCAGCCCCGCCCCGCCGCGCCCGGGCGGCCGCACACTGGGCTCCGGGCCCCGCTGGGCGCGCGGCGGGGCGCTCACGCCGGGCATCGGGGCGCCCACACCGGACCCGGGGTTCGTGCTTTCCGACGCGCAGGGCCCGGGCGCTCACTGTCCTCGCGAATCCGGTCGTGGATCTTTTCTGAAGTTAGGGTTTGGAGACTGGGAGACTCCCGCGCGGGGGCCGCCACCACGCCAGACCTCGAGGGGCGACACGCACCGGCCGCTCCCGCCGCGGGCGGCACCTGCGCCCCCGACCCGCGCCCGTAACCGCGCGCTCCAGCCCCGGCCCCGCCGCCCTACGCCCGTCCCCGGCTTGGATCGCCCGGGTGTTCCTTCCCCGCCCGCCCCGGTAGCAGCAACTAGTGCGGACGCCGCGGCTCCTCTTACCCCGGCCTCGGTCCATGGCGCCGGCCGGTGTCCCGGGCGCGCGGCCGCCGGGCGCAGCGGCTCCGCGTCGGCTGGAGGTGGCGGGCGCGCTGCGCGCTCGGCGGGGCCCGAGCGGCCGGCGAGTCCCCGCCCCCGGACAGGACGCCCGGCCCGGCCCCTGCGCCGCCCCCGGAACAGGCCCGGGGCACGCCTCGCCCCCTGGGCCGCGGCCGGCAGGACTCGCGGCCCCGCACACGCCCCGGCCCCGCCCAGCTCCCGCGGCCTCCCGCCGCGCCCCGCACTGGGCCACCACGCGCGCCCTTCCAGGGGTGGAGGCGCCCACCCCGGCGGCGCTTCCCTGCCCTCGGTGGGAAGGGGACCGCCTGTCCGCTCGCCCTAGCTCCAATTCTCACCAGTGAGAACCTGTATTTTCTTCAAGGGAATCCAGACTCAAACTCGCTTCCTTCGAAGCTGCCCAACTTTGCGGTCAATCTTCTCCACTCTACAAGGGTTTCCTTAACACGTTCCAGAGCTGCCTTGGGGACCCGGGGCTGGGATGGCTCGGTGTCAATAATGGTCTGGAAGAGGCCCAGGCAGCCATAACAACGAAGATTCTCAGAAAGAAAACCACCTAGGAAAAGGGAAACAGGACAGCTAAGGAGAATCATCATCATCATCATCATCGTCATCATCATCATCATCATCATTATTTTATTAAAAAGTCAGACATTGGGCCACTTGACTTGTTTCTTGTGTAGTCAAATGTTAAGAAAGTAAAAAACGGAGTGACAAAATCGTGGAAATGAACAGTTTTGGCATGCAAATGCAGTGTAATGTCAGCATACCCCTCTCACAATAATTATAGAACGTAGACAGCGATCCAGCAATGGGAATTAAGCTTCAAGTTGTATGAAAAGTGTCAACCCTTGTAACTTCCTGTTCCTGCCTAACTGAAAATAAGCTTTACTCATAGAAAACACCAAATGCTTGAATTTAACTTCCTATCACAAAGTGAAGCCCAGGCCTACTCGTCCTCCTGGATAGCTAAGGTGAACCAGATGGGGTTTTTCACGTGTGTGTGTGTGTGTGTGTGTGTGTGTGTGTGTGTACTAGGGTTTGAACTGGGCCTGGGCGCTGGTGCCTTAGCTTTTTTTGCTCAAGGTTAGTGCTCTACCAATTGAATTACAACAACTATTCCTCCTCCTCCTCCTCCTTCTCTTCCTCCTCTTCCTTTCTCTCTGTCTCTGTGTCTCTGTCTCTGTCTCTCTCTCTTTTTTCATGCTTAATTGGGGATAAGGGTTTCATGGACTAGTTTGTGTCCAGGCTCACTTTGAACTGCAACCCTCATATCTCAGCCACCTGAATAGCTAGGATTAGAGTCATGAGCCAGAGCCTAGCAGTTTTTCCGTTTTGAGTGGATGGACCCCTAGTTTACTTAGAAACACTTTGTGAAAAAGCATAGAGTAAAAGAGTGGGTGGGGGGAGGATCCTATATTCATTGCTTTAACTAGCAGGTTGAAGTGAACACTGCCTTTGCAAAGTCCCAGAGGTTTGTTTGTGGTGTTTGTCTCTGAGGCCTCCAGGGGCTGTGGACCAGTTAAAGAAGCAATGAGTAGCTGTAATTTTAGCTACTCAGGAGGTTGAGATCTGAGGTTCCCGGTTCAAAACTAGCCCAGGCATGGAAGTCTATGAGACTCTTATCTCCAGTAAACCACCAGAAAAGTCAAAGTGGCATTGTGGTTCAAAGTGGCAGAGCACTAATCTTGAGCAGAAAAGGCTTAGGGACAGCATCCGGCTCTGAGTGCAAGCCTTAAGACCAACCAACAAAACAAAACAAAACAAAACGAGACAAAACAAAACAGCAATAAATGGGGTTAGAGTCTGAAACATTGTAGATGAGTCCTTAGTGAACTACTCAGGAGGGACCCTTGTAACTTTCAGTCTGTCTGCTTGCTCTTCTTTGTTATGAGAAAACTCACACTGCCCTCACAGAACTTTTGGCAGGCCAAATAAAATGATGATACAAACCCACTTTAGAACCATAAATAGCTATAAAAATGGGAGCCATTATTATTTTCCAAGTTCTTCTTTGTTAATGCCCACTTTTTCAAGTTGAAAAGGCCATTTTAAAGTCCAAAATAGCTAACCAGCCATTAATGTACAAATGAATTAAATTCCCAAAGTCCAGTGTTTGAACTCTGAACCACTTGAAAATCATTAAATTCTGAGGCTAGCCTGTTCTTTCAAAAACATTTTATTTAAAATATTCTTCTTTTTCTGTTTTGCAGTTCTGGAGTTCAAACTTAGGGACTCATACATGACAGGTAAGAGCTCTAATACTGAATGACATCTCTCTCCCCTGTCCCTGCCTTTTTAAGGCCAGTACTGGGGTTTGAATTCAGGGCCTCACACTCTTGCTCGGCTTTTTGCTCAAGGGTGGTATTCTACCATTTCAGCCACATCTCACTTCTTGTCTTTTGTTGGGTAATTGGAGATAAGAGTCTCAGGACTTTTTATGCCTAGCCTGACTTTGAGTAGCAATCCTCAACTCTTAGTCTCCGAAGTACCTAAGGTTACATTCCCTCAAAACCCTCCCTCCCATCACTTTTTTTTTTTTTTGAGACAGGTTCTCATTGGGGATCTTCCTGCCTGTACCTCCTGAGTGCTGAGATTACAGGTGTGTACCACAATACCTAGCAGTGGAATACTTTTTAAATCACAGCACAGAAACAGTCCAGTTGCAGAAACAGATGGAGGCTTTTCTAGAGGTTTTTCAGAGAAACTTTCAGGAATTTGGAGGTTTATTTGGAGTCAAAAGACCCAAAAAGGATTCACATGTATTTGTGGAGTGACTTATGCAGTAGAATTAACTGAATTATCGTGTAGAAAAAAAATATAAAAATGGGATAGAACACAATGTATGTGTATCTCTAAGAATTAAAAAAGTTCTTGGGAAGCTTCAGTGGTTCTGGTTTAGAAAAATACTCATAATTGTCCCTAGGTGGCAGTGTTGACTAAGTTGGTTACAGCTTGGTTGCTGTCAGGGTAACTGATAACAGTGAAGGGGTATTGTGGGTAAGCATACAGGAACAGCTGTGTGTGTGTGTGTGTGTGTGTGTGTGTGTGTGTGTGTGTGTGTGTACATTTTTTCCCCTATGCCTTTCCTTTAATGAGGACCTGTAGAAATCTAACTATCCCCACTCTATCAGTGACAGTGAGTACAGACTGTTCTGTTGGGAGAACAGATGTTAAGTAGGAACAATCTCCATCCTCAAGAGGTTGACAATCTGTTAGAGGACATGGATAACCTGCAGAACAAGTTTTAACACAGATCACCAGGTAGAAAGTGCCAGGGGAAAGATCAAGAGCTCTTTGAGTCTATCAAGAGAAAGCAAGAAGTTCTTACTGATCATGGAGATGATAATAGATGACAGACCTTTGGTGAGGTGTCAGCGGGGCTGCAGAGGATTGGAGCTTGCAGAGGGAGATAGCATTACGGTCATACTAGAGACAGCCAAGACATAGAGATAGAAACCGGCAGGGTGAGTCTACAGAACAGTTTGGGTTGGCTGGACCATGGGCTATCAGGTGCTAAGCACAGATAGGGAAGGGAGTTTGTTGATGCCTGGATTATTTTTCTCTTTCTACTTCTTTAATTGTTTCTCTGGCAAGCACATTCCCAATCTTCCTCATATCTTTCTTTTCCTTTCCTCCTCATCCTCGTCCTTGTCCTCCTCCTCCTCTTTCTTCTCCTCCTCCTCTTCTTCCTGAGTTTTCCAAGTTTTCCTTGTACTTGTCTAAAGAACTATATGGAGAGGCCCAGTTCTGTAAAAAGATATCAAATTCAGTCTCTGTGAACAATACTAGGAAGAAATCTTTCAACTCCCTCCTGCTCCCAGTCTTATAAAAACAAATGATCCTTCCCGTCTCATTCTGAGCTTATCAGGTAGAACTGGAAAAGCCTGGGAAAGAAGTTGGGAGGCAAAGGGCTCTTTGTCCCAGAAAAACCTCCACTTTCTAACCTGTCACAGTGTGTCCAGGGTCTGACTCTGCCGTGACTATGATCATGGTAGAAGTGATCATTCCATGATCCCAATCATACAATGTCTCATCCCTTAGAAAACATTGTGTGGCTCACCTCTGCCCTTGGTGGTGGAGAGCTCAAGTCCCATGGCATTTGAGAGGATCCTCTTTGCAGAACTATTGTCATCTCAGGATGTACTGGGAAGTTCAGCCCTCTCAGGGGGCTCCCACAGGGTGCAACAATTGACACCATTGTCAGGCAGCTCTCAGTTCTTCTTGAACACCAGGGTCTATTTCCTATTTCCTTCCTCCTTCCTGGACCCAGATCCCTGTGTGTGTAGGTGGCTTCTGTGTCTTATTCACTCTAGATCCACATAGCCCCATCCAGACCTCTGCTCCCAGTACATGGAAATCAGTATTTGTGAAGCAAGTCAGCCAGTAAAAGCTTCAGGACCTGGGGGGCCTGCCATCATTGTCACCTGATGCCTGTATCACTGAGGCCTGGTTCACCCTCTGGCATCTTCTTATTTACAGAGCCATATTGTGGCGAGGTGTTCTGTAGAAGTGCCACATGCTCCCAGCCTGGTGTGTGCTGCTGTGGCCAGCAGCCTCTTCTCCATCAGGGCCTCTGTCCCATGTTCCCTTGTGAAGAGAACCCCACAGCCCTTTTCATGGTGTCTGCCTGATGCTGGCTTCTGGATAAAAACCTCTCTTGTTCCACTCAGCACAATGTCACCATTATAACCCCAGTCTAGGGAAATGACACATGGTACTGGGCTGCCCTGCCACCCCCCCCCCCCCCAAAGCAGATAGAGATCTGTGCAGTGATTACTGGCAGGAAGGATGGATGAACGCTCCTCCCTCCCTAGCCCCTCAGCCCTCTCCTAGGGCTCCAGCCTGCCCCGTCTGGGGTCCTGGCCAAGGAAAGAGCACATGGCTACATCTTGAAGGTTGGATGGGAAGATGTGTGTGACACAGGCCTGGGCAATGCTGGGCGGTGCCAAATCAGAGCCCTGCAGCTCCATCTGAAGGTATGGTAGCCAGTCAGCGAGGGCCTGGAGTGGCGAGAACTTTACATATTTTTCAGGAGAACAAAACACCCTAGAAATCCAGAGATTGA